ATCTGGGCAAAATCATCTTAACCTAAATTTGGTTAGTCCAGACATGCTGACCAGTTCATGTAATTTATTGAAAACTAGACTGAAATGAAAATCAGCTTGGTTGTGTGGTTACACTGTCAGAAACCATCAAGTTGCAAATGCATAAGCCAAATCACAATGCATCAAGGACCATCCATCATTCTGCATGTTAGTCCTTTGTCAGGTAAGGAACTTAGATATTTTCTCCCATTCTGATGGGTGTACATTCACTAATGATTGTTGTCTTACTGTGCAGAAGCTCCCGAGTTTGATACAATACATTTGTCTAGTTTTGCTTCTGTTGCCTGTGATTTTGAGGTCTTGTCTGAAAAATCATCGTCTATATCAATGTCCTGAAGTACTCCCTCTAGGGTTTCTTGTATCCATTTTATAGTTCGACATCTTCCACTTAGGTGCTTGATCTATCTTGAGTTTATTTTGTATATCTGAGAGGTAGGGATCTAATTTTCATGTCCAGTTTACCCAGCACCATTTATTGGAAGAAACAACCTTTCACTAATGTATGTTCTTGGCAATTTTGTCAAAAATCAGTTGACTGTATGTACATGGATGAATTTCTGATTCTCTATTCTGTTCTGTTGATCTATGAGTCAGTTTTGATGCCAGTACAATGCTGTCTTAGTTACTATGCCTTTGCAGTGTGCTTTGAAATCAAGTATTGAGATTCCAGCTTGATCTTGGGGGAATCTGGACTTCCTGACTTGTTTGCATTCTGTGGTTCCATAGTGTAGGATACGTTTTTCTAATTCTGTATAAAATGCCATTGATATGCTCATATGGTTTACACTGACCTATAGATTCATTCAGGTGTGTGTACATTTTAATGCCATTAATGCTTCAATCTCTGAGCAAAGAATATCTTAATTTTTTTGATTCTGTCACCATTTTTTTCATCATACTTTTATACTTTTCATTGAAAGAGCTCTCATTGAATTTCATCCTAAATAAATTTTTGTACATTTTATGAAAGGGATTCTTTCCTTGATTTTTCTTTCAGCAAGATCATTATTGGTGTATAAAAATTCTCTTTATATGTTGACTTTGTAGCCTGTGACTTTACGATATTGCTTCTCCAGTTGTAACTGATTTTTGGAATTTTCTATGTACAATACCATGTCATCCACAAACATGGATATTTTGATTCCTCTTTTCTGGTTTTTATGGCCTTTATTTTTTTATATTGAGTAAGAGTGGTGAAAATGAATGGCCTTGTCTTGTTCCGTATTTTAGAGAAATGAGTTCAGGTTTTCCACATTTAATATGAAATTTGCTGTTAACTGTAATCTGTTGCCTTTATCATTTTCAGGGATGTCTCTTGTATACCTAGTTTGTTAAGAATTCTTATTATGAAGGGGCGTTGAATCTTATTAAATACTTTCTCTGCATCTCTTTCAGTGGATTGTGCATGGTTTTTGTTCTTCATTCTGTTGGTCTGACTTAGGATGCTTATTGATTTCCAAATGTTGAACCACTCTTTGATCTCTTGGATAATCTCTCTTGAATATGATGTATGATCTTTTTTTTAAAAAAGATTTATTTATTTGAAAATCAGAATTACACAGAGAAATAGAGAGGCAGAGAAAGAGAGAGGTCTTCCATGGCTGGTCCACTCCCCAATTCGTCACAATGGCTGGAGCTGCACTGATCCGAAGCCAGGAGCCAGGAGCTTACCCTGGGTCTCCCACTCAGGTTCAGGTGCCCAAGGACTGAGCCATCTTCTACTGCTTTTCCAGGCCATAGCACAGAGCTGGATTGAAATTAGAGAAGCTGGGACTCAAACTGGCACCCATATGGGATTCTGGCACTGTAGTCAGCAGCTTTACTTGCTATGCCACAGTGCCAGCCCCATGGATCATCTTTTATATGTAGTGCTGGATTTAGTTTGCTAATATGGTGTTGGAATTTATTGCATCTATCATCAAGACTATTGATCTGTAGTTTGCTTTTTATGTTGTGTCTTTGTTTAGATCTGGTATCAGAATAATATTGGCCTCATATAAGGGGTTTGACAGAGTGCCTTTCTTTTCAGTATTTTTGGAATAATATTGTATTGGTCCCTCTTTAAATATTTTGTATATTGTATTGTATTGTAAATATATTATATTGTATTGGTCCCTCTTTAAATATTTTGGAGAATTCAATATTAAAACCTTCAGATCTTGAAAGTTTCACTCATGTAAGTTCTTACATTCCTCCTTCAGCTCATTACTTGCCATATGTCTGTTCAGATTTTTTATATCTCCTTACTACAATCTTGGTAGGTCATATATCCAGGGATTTATCCATTTCTTCAAGGTTGTTAGCATTTAGCTGTTCATAGTGGTTGCTTATGATCCTCTGTATTTGTGTCAGTTGTAACATCTTTATCTCTTACTATTTTAGTTTTCTTTTTGTTAGTTTGTCTAAAGGTTTGCCTATTTTGTTTCTTTTAAAAAAACCTTTTCATTTTGTTGCTCTTTTATTTTTGTTACAGTTTCATTAATTTCTGCTCCGATGTCATTTCTTGCCTCCTGGTAATTTCGGGTTTGGTTTGTCATTGTTTTCTAAGCCCTTGACTTCCATCATTACATTGTTAATTTGACATTCTTTTGTTTTTCTGGTATAAGCTCTATTGCCATAAACTGTGTTCTTAAGACTGCTTTTTCTATATTCCACAGATTTTGATTGTTATATTTGCATTCTCGTTTCTTTCAAGACACTTCCTGATATCCTGTTTTCTTTTTTTTTTTTTTTTGACAGGCAGAGTGGACAGTGAGAGAGAGAGACAGAGAGAGAAAGGTCTTCCTTTGCCGTTGGTTCACCCTCCAATGGCCGCCACAGCCGGCGCACCGCGCTGATCCGATGGCAGGAGCCAGGATCCAGGTGCTTTTCCTGGTCTCCCATGGGGTGCAGGGCCCAAGCACCTGGCCATCCTCCACTGCACTCCCTGGCCATAGCAGAGAGCTGGCCTGGAAGAGGGGCAACCGGGACAGAATCCGGCGCCCCAACCGGGACTAGAACCCGGTGTGCCGGCGCCGCAAGGTGGAGGATTAGCCTATTGAGCCACGGCGCCGGCCCCTGTTTTATTTTTTCAATTGGCTAGTGTTCAGTAGTTGCAATTTAATTTTTATGTTTATAAAATTTCTGTTGTTTTGTAATTTTATTCCTTTGTTTTCTGAAGAGATAAATGTATAATTTCATTTTTTAAAGATTTTGTTTATTTGACAGGCAGTGTTAGAGAGAGAAGAGACAGAGAGAAAGATCTTATCCATTGGTTCACTCACCAAATACCCAAAATGGCCAGACTAGGCCTACCCACAGCCAGGAGCCAAGAGCTTCTTCTGGTCTCCAGTGCAGCTGCAGGAACCTAAGCACTTCAGTTGTTTTCCACTGCTTTCCCAGCCCTTAAACAGGGAACTGGATTGGAAGAGGATCAGTGGGGCCATGAACTGGCACCATAGGCACAGGCTTAGTCTACAACGCCACTGCTCCAGCCCCTGTAATTTGTACTTTTATTCAACATTGCATGAACAATATTTACCTCACTAAAAATAAGCTGCAAAGTCATAGTAATAAGCTGTACAGATGCATTAGAATTTATTTAATCTGGCTGTTCCTACAGAATGCCTGTTTTTCCTTTGCCTCAGTTTTTGGTTATAATATATAATGCTGAAATCAATATACTTTATATAATGTATGGCATGGTGGGTCAAACCGCCAGCTGCAATGCGGGCATCCCATATTGGTGCTGGTTAACATCCTTGCTGCTCCACTCCCAATCCAGATTTCTGCTAATGGCCTAAGAAAAGCATAGGAAGATGGCCCAAATGCTTGGGCCCCTGCCACTCACTTGGGACACTGGATTAAACTCCTGGCTTTGCACTGGCCCAGGCTTGACTTGTAGCAGCCATTTTGGGAGTGAACTGGCAGATAGAAACCGATCTCACTGTACTGCTTTGTAATTCTGGCTTTCAAGTGAATAAATTTTTAAAAGAAAAAATAAAAACCACATGCAAATTGTACATGTTTATAAAGCAGTATGTAATAGGCAAACAACATCCTTAATGCCAAGTCATTGGAAGGAATGTTTCTCCTATCAATTTTGCTGTTTTTTATCTTGCTGTGGATTTTTGTTTAACTTTGTGTAGTCAAGGTTATCAGTCATTCTCCTCTTCTTTGAGCTAAAGCCCGAAATACCTTCTGACAGGATCACATCAGTTGTGCGAGTCCCTCTAGGGCTCAGTTCCACAGCCCAGGCCGCCCCGCCCACAGGACTTTCTGGTCCATGAGGCTACGCGGCTCTAGGCGCCCCTGACAAGGCTGCTCTGGTGAGATCCAGCTCAGACCTCGGGGACTGGCCCGCGTGGCCGAGTTCACGAGGGAGGTGCCCCCTCAGGGAGCCGGCCCTCGTGCAGTTGGGGGCAGTTGCGCTGGAGAGAGCTCCAAGGCAGATGACCCAGGGCCTCGCGGGATGTCCCCTACTTGTTGAGCGAGGTGGAGGTGTCCAGGTCCGTGCACCTTTGAACTCCTGTCAGTTGGTCAGCTCTGTCCCATGTGCGTTAGCGCCAATTGTCAAGCGCACCCCATCGTCCACGTTTATATCGTCTAATGAGGTTAGCCAAGCGGCGGGTCTGGAGGGGGAGGTGGGGGTGGAGAGTGGGGGACCAACGGACGCTCAGAAGGTTACAGTTGGGGCTGATAACCGGGTACATGGTCGCAGTTAGCGGTTGGATGGATGATAGTGTGTGGCTTGCTTTTGTAAAATAATGCTTACTGTAATTCATTTTCTTTACTTAGAAGTTATAGTGATTAATATACAGATACTAATGTATGTAATCACATATACGAGATATATTAAATATAAGTAACAAATATACAATGCATAAATGTTAGTATTTATATCAGAATATTAGAAATTATTTTTCTAATATTATAACTATTAGAAACCTACAGAGGCCAGAACCTGCAGCTATGGAGAGTTGGACTGTATTGTTCAAAACCTGTAGCCCTCATCGAACAGGTAAGCTTAAGTCATTCCTTCTACCACAAACACCATTTAGCTCTAAGTGTTTGATAGTAACCAGTGAGTGTGTATTGCACTGGTATGAGAAACAAGCCCACCTGAGCCCTCCCAAAGGATGGACTCAGAAGCATGAAGGAAGCAGGAAGGCAAGGTGTTATTGATACTTGGTAATTTTTTTTAAAAAAGATTTACTTATTTATGGCCAGCGCCGCAGCTCAATAGGCTAATCCTCCACCTGCGGCGCCTGGCACACTGGGTTCTAGTCCCGGTCAGGGCACTGGATTCTGTCCTGGTTGCCACTCTTCCAGGCCAGCTCTCTGCTATGGCCCAGGGGTGCAGTGGAGGATGGCCCAAGTGCTTGGGCCCTGCAACAGCATGGGAGACAGGAGGAAGCACCTGGCTCCTGGCTTCAGATTAGTATGATGCGTGGCTGCCAGCGCGCGGGCCGCAGCTGCCATTGGAGGGTGAACCAATGGAAAGGAAGACCTTTCTCTCTGTCTCTCTCTCACTGTCCACTCTCGCCTGTTAAAAAAAAGATTTACTCTATTTATTTATTGAGGGTCAAAGTTACAGAGAGAGCGGAGACACAGAGAGACAAGGTCCTCCATCTGCTGGTTGTTTCCCCAAATGGCTGCAATGGCCAGAGCTGGGCACAATCTGTAGTAGGTGCCAGGAGCTTCTTCTGGATCTCCCATGTGGGTGACAGGGACCCAAAGACTTGGACCATCGTTCCACTGCTTCCCAGGTGCCTTAGAAAGGAGCTGGATCAGAAGTGGAACAACTGGGACTTGAACCAGAGCACCATATGGAAAGCCAGGGTTCAGATTAACGACTGGCTACAGTGCTGGGCCCTGTGTGAACCAGCACACAGAAGATCTCTTTCTCTATATGTCTCCCTCTCCAGCTCTGTAACTGTGCCTTTGAAATTAGTAAGTCTTTAAAAAGGGTGCAAGAGAGAGAAGAATGGAATGAGCATGATGCCCATGCTCTTGGGGTGCAGAGTGAAGAGTTTCAACACATGTTTAGGAATAGCAAGTAGTTTTTTGCTGTTTTGTTCTGTCCCCAATCTGTTAGCTGAACTGCTTTTTTCTTTCTCCAAGATTATAAATACATTAAGGGCATCTTAGAAATGTATCAGTTTCCAGGCGTAAGACAAAAGAAGAATTTTATACTAGCATTCTACTTATTCCTACTGACATAAAAGGCAGAGACAAGGAAAAACAATGAGCCCACCTAGAAGATTTAGGATATAACATTCCAGGTGGGGCTTTTCCATGTCCCTGGGAAGTCTCCAGATTCCCACCTTGCTGTCCAGCCCCACAGGGCTGCCATCTTACCTGGTGCACATGTGTACTGCCTCCAGGGTAACTTCAGAACCCAGTGAAGTCAGCCAGCTCCAGCCACCCGCATTGGCACCCAAGTCTCTGAGCCCCAAGGGTAATTCAAATTATTTTCCCTCTGGTGAACATCTTTGGAATGAATGGCCAGTGGCCAGCTCCTCATTAAGAGTGAGGTTCCTGTAGTCAGGGCAGGTTCAGTGACAAGGTCTTAGTGATTGGTGTTAGCTAACAGCTGCTTGGGTGTCTATGCCCCAAGCTTGCTAGTAGAGGAGCAGAGGATCCAGTAGCCCAAGGACAAACATATTAAATATGTGTGTGTTAGATTACATGTTTTTTTTTGACAGGCAGAGTTAGACAGTGAGAGAGAGACAGAGAGAAAGGTCTTCCTTTTTCCGTTGGTTCACCCCCAAAGTGGCTGCTACGGCTGGTGCATTACAGCGCGCGCTTCCAATCCGAAGCCAGGAGTCAGGTGCTTCTCCTGGTCTCCCATGGGGTGCAGGGCCCAAGCACCTGGCCATCCTCCACTACTCCTGGGCCACAGCAGAGAGCTGGACTGGAAGAGGAGCAACTGGGACAGAATCCGGTGCCCCGATAAACTAGAACCCATTGTTCTGGGCCGCAGGCGGAGGATATCCTAGTGAGCCACGGAACTGGCAGTTTACATGTTTTTAAAGTATTTTTAAATTTTAAAATTTATATAAATGGAACAAATTTTGTGTATTTCATACACACAGTTTAAGAACATAATGCCACTTCCCAAAGGAAGCCTTGATGCTTATGACGCCATGCTGTTGCCCAGTAGACAGTGATTAAGTATCTCTGTGTTGTATATTATTAATTCATTTGTATTTGTACACTTATAAACTTGTGTATTTGGCAGTCATAGGCTTATTCTGTTTGTATTATTTTTGATATGTCTTTGTATATATAAGTAAATATATTGATACATGTTGTGTGTAAGTAGACATTTCTGCAAATAATGACAGTAACATTTCTTCCCTCTTAGAATGTCGAAGTCTCCCAGATGTGAAATTACAGCTATATAGGTAAAGGAAATTTATTTATATTTTATAGACATAGTATTTATGCAGTTAAATATATGTCTTTAAGGATTCACTCAATATTTTCTTACATTTCCCTGTGTGGATATAGGTAAGTATTTGTCTAAGATTGTCATTTTTGCTATGGACATAATACAAGCTTTAACCTCCCATTGGTGAACACGGCCCTACTGAGTTGTAGGGACTTTTGGCTGACTGCAGCCATAGATGTAAAACTGGCTCTTGGCCTTGTGCATGGGTAGTTTGTGTCCATAGTTTCCTCCAGTGGTTGGGACATACCTCAATCCAACAGTGGAAGAGCTCACATTAGTCACACCTCATGCATCCATTTGGGAAGGCCCAACCCTTGACCTCTAACCCAGTGACATTGGTCTGTCTTGGCCCCAGAAGGTCTGGAATTCTAGGTGTATATAGTGTGTCAGTATCAGACAGTTCTGGAGAAATCTGGGGATGCCCTACAGATCAGGTTGAGGAGAAAAGCAGAGATATTTTCAAACTCAGTTTACAGATCATAAAAGCTACCTTGTATTTTGTAGCTTTTTGGAGATAACTTTTGTACATATTTTGCTAGACCTGTGACTTTTTTGTGTGGTCCAGTAAATGGCATTTGGTAACATTTGAATTCCAGTTGTTCTCTGCAGGTGTAAAGCACATCAGGAGGCACTGCACACTAACAGTGTTTTGCTTCTTTTGGTCTCCATCTGCAATGACGCATGCACAGGTTACTCACTGCTCCCCAACTCCTTGGGTAATTGGGAAGTCAGGACCTGAAATCTGTGACTACTGATGAGCAGCGATTCATCTGGCGTCCAGCAGGGGGCAGCAGGCAAAAAGTCAACAATTGTGAGCGTCCTGCACCGTGGGCAAGCGGCCTGGAGGTGGTGCCCAAAAGCCCCTTGGCTGTGCTGTTCCTGCCGCAGGTGCGTCCCTCCTGAAGAGCACACCCTTGGTTCCTTTCCTTGCAACCTGAGGCTCCTGACTGGGCGCTGATGCCTGAGGAGGGAAATAGCAGCAGAGAAGCTCTCGTTTTCCAGGATGTTCTCAGGCGGGTGATTCTTCACTGTCTCACTTCATATTTTAGCCAGATTTACTTGACAAAAGTATCTATCAATGAAGGGTATAATGGGTGGACATCAGGTCAGGCTATGAAGTTGTTATGGAATCAGGACTGTTTCAGGGAAAAATCCTGACAGACTCCAAGGGCCTTTCACCCTGTGTAGCCTTCAGTGATGGGGCCTTTCCCTGGCTCTGTGAAGTCCCCAAACACCCACTCTCCACTGGCAGCGGGCTGAGTTCTCCTTTAGACATCTGAGCTCATGCCTACATGCACTGCCATGGTCACCTCAGAACACAGAATGAGGGAATGTTCTCCAGGGAGGGACCCAGCTGCAGCCACCCCTGTGGCACCTGAGAACCTGAACACCTGATAGGTTACTGAGAGGATTCATTCCTTCCAGTGGACAGTTTTGGGAAGAGTAGCCACACTGAGAGTGACAAACCTGCTGTCAGTTGTCTCCAGTGATGTGGACCTGGTGATTGGTGTCTGCCAGGGTCCCCTTGTGTCTGGGAGCAGAGGGACTCTCTGGGTGTTATGCCCCCATGATCTCTATCAGGTGAGTGGTGGGCCAGTGTTGCCTGACATAAAGATTACTGTGTGTGTATATGTGTGTATGAGTGTGAGATTGTGTGTGTTCCCTTCGATTTCATGTGTATTTAGTATATGTGTATAGGTTCTTGTTATAAACTCATATATTTAGGAATGTAGGTTTATTCCTAGCTATATTATTATATAATGTGTGTACATAGTTTGGTGTATACATTTCTAGAAACTATGGTAGTAAGAAATTCCTTCCTCTTAGGATGTTGAAGCATCCTGGACCCCAAGGATATATCCATGCAAGTAAAGGGACAACCTTTCTCTATCTCTAGGACTCATATGAGTATTTATGCAGTTATGTGTGCTACCTTAGAGGTTCTTTCAATTTTTTCTGCCCATTTACACAAATACACACAACATATTACCACAAGAGGGTTGTTTTCACTAGGGGCAACATAAAGTTTTTTCTAAACATTTACTTATTTTATTTGCAAGGCAGTGAGAGTGAGAGAGGAAAAAAAAAGACAGAGAAAATGGACAAGGCAAGTGAGAGAAAGAGAGAGAGAGACCATACTGCTGGTACACTCCCGACATTGCTCCAGCAGCCAGGGCAAGGAGCCAGGAGCTTCATCTGGGTCTCCCACATGGAGCAGGGATCCATATTCTTGGGCCATCTCTACTTTCCCAGGCACATTAGCAGGAACTGGATTGGAAGTGTAACAGCTGTGACTCAACACAGCACCCATAGCTATGCGGGCATGGCGGCGGCAAGCTCAGCCACTGCATCACAACACTGGCCCCACCAATACAGGTTGTGACCTGTTATTGATGATCCAGGAGACATCTGGAAACCTCAGAAAGGAGCTGGACTGAACAAGGCTCTGGTTCGTACCCTGTCCTGGCCTTGTACATCGGGCAGTGCAGGTCCCCAACCACCCTCCTTAGCTGCACTGACACTCTTAACCCTCAGTGCTGGGACCTACATTACGCCTCCCTGCTCGTGGCATCTACCTGGGTCAGCAGGCCCAACATGCAGCCTCGTCAAAGTAATTTAATGCCTTTGGGATTTAAGAATGTTTTGTTCATGCAAACATTAGGACAGCTGTAAAGAGTATTTATAGATATGACATCAGTAGAGGGACTAATGTAAAAGTGCTCAGTGATTTAGATGTGTTTGGCAGAGAGAAATGGAGCTTGTTATGATTTTCCTCATAGGGATCCTCTAAGAAGTAAATAGGCTCTATTCTGTTTAAGAGATTTAAGATTTGTAGTGACTCATGTTATACCATGGCCTCCTAGTTTTAACAGTATGACTGCAAGGAATATTCACCTGGCCAATAGAGACCATGGGATTCTGGTACTCATAGTTGAAGATCATATAGGGACATTTTTGCTTCTTACTATCAATGTTATTATGCATGGATTTCCATTTAAATGCTATTTAGTTTCCTCATTGGGTAATAATTACTTGGGTTGAACTTACTGTTGACTAACAAGTATATAGAATATAATTACTTCTGTGCCTGTGAATGTCATAATTAAGAATATCTATAGAAAGATTAGTATTTTATCACTTTCACAGAAGTTGTCCTTTAGAAAGGGGATACTCACTCTGATTTTTAAGGGAAACTGTGAGGTGGTATCAGGAAGGATCAGAGAGGAAGGTGGATGAGAAACAGCTTATTTTATAATTGGTTTATTTATAATAAATAGGATTATGAAGTAGTCTATAAGCTGTGTGTGTTTATGTTGATTCAGAGTATTGTGGTATTGAGTACATTGTTATGGGAATAAGTGTAATTGTAAGTTGTCACTGCCCCTCTTCGTGGAGGAACGACACAGGACCCTGTGCTGTTCTTTTGTCTGCTCGGCCCTTCCCGGGTTTGCTGCTGGTTCTTCCAGGGTTGGCTGCCAACCCTTCCACCCTCCGTGGAAGGGCGGTTCCCCTGCCACTGTCCCCACTTCCGCGGGGGAGTGGCACACCACCGGCCGGCTCTCGCGGGGGCTGCTCAGATGTTCCTGTTGCATGTTGTCTCTCTCCTCCTTTATAGTCCTCTTCCACCAATTCCAACTTGCTACCCACACGCCGAGTACGCGCTCTCCTCCGATCAGGGGCAGGGATCAGCTCCTGTAGGTATGGTCGAATGGAGGCAGCTGCGTAGAAGCTGTTTACTCCTCTCCCAGCGCCATATTGTGGGAGAGCAGATGCATAGAATAAGTCTCTAATTCCCAGTAACTTAGTCTAGTCCGAGTTGCCCCCACAGTAAGTTACATAATTTTTATCTAGGAGAAGGGGTTAAGTTTATACATTATCTAGACCATAAGTGTTGGATGCCATTATTAATTGTGTTTAGCCCACAGTGGCTTCATAGGCTACAAATACTAGTAGGCAATGTATATTATACATGATATGATAAAATGAGCATTTAGGATTACAAGGGTTCCTAAATATGAATCCATATAATATTGTACCTTATAAAGGACAAAAGTGATCTGTTAATGAACAACTTAATACATTATCCCTCTTAGTAGTTTTTTTTTGTCTCTTCTACTTAATATGACTGGTTTAATTCTGTAATTATCACACAGTTATTCTTAAGTGTTGAAAATTAACTGAAATGTGATCCCTGTTAAACATAAGAGTGGGAATAAGAGAGGGAAGAGATGTATAATTTGGGACATGCTCAAGCTGACTTGCCCAAATGGTAGAGTTAGAAACATACCAGGGGATTCCAATTCAATCCCATCAAGGTGGCATGTACCAATGCCATCTCACTAGTCCAAGTGATCAATTTCAGTTCACAATTGATCATAATGAAAGGACTAAGAGTCAAAGGGAGCACATAAACAAGTCTAGTACCTGCTAACACTAACCGATAGAATAAATCAAGGGGAGAGTGATCCAACATGGGAGCGAGATACTCAGCAGACTCATAGAATGGCAGATGTTCCTAAATAGCACTCTGGCCTCAGAATTAGCCCTAAAGCCATTCGGATCTGGCTGAAAAGCCCATGAGAGTATTTCAGGCATGGAAAGCCAAGACACTCTGGCAAACAGATCTCTGTGAGTGAGATCCCAGTGGAAAGAACAGGTCTTCAAAGAAGGAGGTACCCTTTCTCTGAAGGGAGGAGAGAACCTCCACTTTGACTATGACCTTGTCTAAACAAGATAAGAGTCGGAGAAACTCAGAGGGCTTCCACAGCCTTGGAAACTCATGACTGGAGCATAGGGAGATTACTGATGCCATAGACAGGAGTGTCAATTTGTAAAGTCAACAACAGGAGTCACTGGGCACTTACTCCTCAGTAGGATCTCTGTCCCTTAATGTGCTGTACATTGAGATTTAATGCTATAACGAGTACTCAACAGTATATTTCATCTTTGTGTTTCTATGGGGGTGCAACGATGAACCTTACTTAATGCATACTAAACTGATCTTCTGTTAAAAAAAAGAAATTATCAATCCAACTTGACTTCTCAATGGGATTAAACATGACAATAGGTCGCTCTGATTTCAATCATCATTTTAAAAAAATCATCTATTATTTTTCACCTTTTATGTTTCTGTGTGGGAGCAAACTGTTGAAATCCTTACTTAATGTATACTAAGCTGATCTTCTGTATATTAAGATAATCAAAAATGGAATCTTGTATGTGAATGGAAGGGGAGAGGTAGTGGGAAAGGGGGAGGGTTGCGGGGTTGGGAGGGACCGGTATGGGGGGAGGGAAGTCATTGTAATCCATAAGTCGTACTTTGGAAATTTATATTCATTAAATAAAAGTTTTTTTAAAAAAAGAATCCAATTAAATAGTTAAAATTTCAAAAAAGACAAAAGTGATGATATATCAGTATACTGATAATAGTATTTGTAAGGATGCAACCATACGCTAAAATAATATTCCTATAGGTTTGAAGGCATATTGGGTAATAGAATACCTTAACCTAATGTGTTGAAATAATTAATTTTAATGATTACACTCATTCTAGTCTTTTTTGAATTCATTCATAGGCTTGACCTAGGGCTAAAATGGAAACTATAATTAGATGGTAAGAGCAAGTGTTAGGTTTTCTGCAGTACCCATGGCAGGGGAAGTAAGATGGTAGTATCTAGGCTGAATAGAAAGACTGTAATGCCTAAAAGAGAATTTTATGGATAATGGCAGTTGGGCAGAGGCTATAGGATCAAATCTAAATATTGTATGGACTTTATTTTATGTAAATATTTAATTCTACGACCAGATTATGGTGGTTCCAAGAAATAGCACTACAGATATATGGATTGTCAGGGAGAGAGTAAGTTCATTATCTTTTTCAGGTTAAACTGAAGCTAATACATTGGAAGCCGTAGCAGTAGTTAACATTAAAAGAATAACATACATAACATACTTATGATCTCATAAGAAGAGAGATGTGTAAGAATAATCAGACTGTGTCCACAAAGTGTATCAGGCATCAGTTTCAATGTCAAAATGATGGTTTCATATCAAATGAAATTTAATTGTTATGAGAAAGTAAGATCTAAATTACAAATAGGCCATGGAATCCTGTGGTTGTAAAGAATGTTGATCCTACACAACCTCAGAGATGGTAAAAGATATATTGAAATATTTGGGGGCTGGTGTTGCGGTG